AGACTGTGGAAAAGGATATGGGGCCCCAGACAGCGAGGCACACGCTGCCGCTCGCTTGCAAGGAAAGCCAGCCGCTTCTCAAACTGCTCGCCCAGTGCCGCCTCACTCTCAACTAATCCCATTCTAGCAGCTTCAGTTGCTTCTCTTTTGCCAAACAATGCTTAGTTTTGACAAGGCCATTAGCCTCATTTCCAGTGTTTCTCGCGCTTTTGGCTCACACGACAATTTTAATCTTTTTTTTTATGGTTGCTTCCTTCAAATGTTACTGGCTACACTTGTCCACTTTCTCAAGAACTTAAAATTTGGTGGGTTTGGAAAACTTAGGAAAACCATCCGATGGGAAAGGAGGGAGCCAGGAATTAGCTGTTGATTTTCTGGCTGATTTAAATATGTCATGAGGCTTTTCTGATTGAAGAATCAAAATACAGGAATTTTATTTAAAAAAAAAATGGGGGGGGGGCAAATTAGTTAACCATGCTTGTCACCAAACTAGACTCCAGGAAGGGCTATGTTCTACATCACGGGGGAGGTCAGTAAAATGTTAAAATGCTATGAAGTGGATACAGCTTCTTAGACTATAATTATAGTGGCTTTGAAGGTTTCATAAAGCAGCCTAGTTTCTAAAACCAGCAATTAAAACTGCAACAATTTCTTTATGTAATGGTACAGTTTATTTCATTTTTAACGAGAGGACAAAATGTTTAAAATTTGCAGCTTAAAACATGCACATTCACAAAAGGCCAATGACACATAACACTGCAGAGAACTGAATATTACTCAACTTTAATAACTACTTATAAAACAGTGCATTGAACATCGCGATCAACAAACCTGAGAAAACTATAATCACAGATTCAACACTGGCCACTCATGCAGCGTCACAATTTCGACAGCAGTTTCAGCAGGAATGGAGTTTCATGGAGCTGAAAATACTATTTTATCTTTAACGCAAACTTCAATTTTTTCCATAGTTGCTGCCTTCTGAGGCTGCCTTTTTTTTTGAACTTAATAAACTTGAAAATGTGAAAAATGAAGCTTGAAGTAGCTAAACAAACGACAGACGTATTTACTGCATTTATGGCTTCTAGTCTAGAACCATGAAACACAAAAATATTTATTTTTAAATATTCTGCTCACGTTTTTGCAAGAGCAGATTTACGTATGGAAAGTTGCTCTTCATTCAAAGTAAGCATGTATGAAATCTAGCTCTTTTTCCTACTTACAGGAGATTTATTTGCTGAGAAGTTTTGTGAGCTTTATTAAGAAAAGTTCTTAGAGGCAAGCTAAACAAAAGTTGCAATTAAATGTGTTCAAATTTGTTTGTAAAATAATTTACTTATTTAAAAAAAAGTGATGCAGAGAGCCAATTAATTTTTTCATCGAATATTAAATTCCAGGTAGGCCATGATAGAATTTTATAAGGCAGAAATAAACATCAAGATTTACAGCAGTAGCCATGCACTGGCCTAGGCCACTTTAAATATTAATTCATGCAAACCATAAACCTATCAGAAACACAGCTGCTTTCATACAGAAAATAAATCAAGGCGAAAAATGGAAAACATTTATTTCCTTTCCTTCAAAGTTTAACTTACATTCCATTTTAACAGCCACTGAAGGTTAATTAAAATGCAGCAAAGTATAACAGAGACTCACAAGTGACTTCAGTTATTTTAATGCAAGAAAAATCAGATTATGATCTCTTAGAGAAGGGTTATAGAAATGTTCATCATTAAAAAGCATTTATTAGGCACCGAGCTGCATATTACATGAATTTACAAAAAGAATTCCACAGATCTGGTCCACGTGATGTGAATTGGGTGGGCGTTTTCTCGATAAATTTTATAAATGGTTATTTATAAGATTATATATAGACTTATTTGATAAAATAAGTTTTAGAACCAAGAAGTGTCATAGGGCAACTGCACAAAAATATACACTGATGATCATTTAGCATGGTAATAATTAGGACATTGCTACAAATAATTTAAAAACTACAAATATACAATCTATTACTTTTAGACTAGCATTCATTTCCTGAAAGAACGTTTCAAATGACAAGTTATCAGTGACGTACAGTGCACACAATGCAGAACAGATTATCATGTGAGGTTCATATTTGTTATTTAGAATGCTAAACTGCAAAATTAAAATGTAAAATGTGATAATCAGAATAAATGATGATTTCTGGAATTCGCTTTCCCCCTGAACATTAAGAGGAATTACTGACTCCGTTCAATGACTATATAATTCATGTAAATGAATAATATTATTGAATAAGAATACACATTCACCTGACTTGATTAGAAAAAGGTTTTCCATTAACTTTGCAACACTGTTGAATCAGGTTCATGTCAGACACCGAATGGGGTGTAGGAGGGCAGGCAGCACGTAGATCATTTTAAATTTGCTACATTCCTGAGAAACACCCTTCTCCTGCTAACAATTTCTGCCAAATAGCATCTTTCTGGGTGTGAGCCACCAGTATATTTTTATATGTATATAGAAAACATTTAGAAAGTTCATGCTCAATATCACTGTGTATGATTCAACATTAAAGAAGCAACTCCCAGCTTTTCAATGTTAAATGAATGAGGATTTTTCTGCTGTAAGTAGTATTTTCTGAATTGTAAACATTGTAAAGTGAGACGGTGTTAGCATTTGCCAAAGTCCCTATAAGGGACTTTTGAATTGAAGGGTATGTGTCCTTTATTTCAGAAAATACAAGTTAAAAGTCACTTCAGCTGTTTTAATCTTGGTAAAACTGTTACACTCCTCCCCCTCTTTGGAAGGTTAAAAATTCAGAGGGTTTTCTCTAACACTATAAACTCACTGCGACTGCAATGGTGTGTTTTAAGTTTTACCAAGGAGGTCACTCCCTGCTGCCCAGCACCCTCTCTCACACAAGAAGAAAGGAACTGACTTAATAATTCAAAAATAGGACTACGGGACAAGAAAGACTTCACTTAGCCATATTTCAGACCACGGTCTCATACATGAATTAACCATAGGTATTCTACTCACGTTGAAGAGCTCCATAGAAACAATCCATGTTTTAAGATAAAAATAAAACTTTTTTTTTTTTTTTTTAAACCAGAAGATTCTGTTCTATTATATTCATCATATTTTGGTATTAAAATTTGGGAGAAGGATGCCACTGATGAGGTGGAGGCCAAGGGAAGCATCTCTTGTCTGTAACCTCGATAAAGTGTTTCTCCAGAGGGATGGACCTCATTCTTGTGATTTGTGTGGTTTGACCCTGACTATCTACCACGGGGAGGCCCAGGAAAGCCGCTCTGAATATCCCTTCAGTAGACAAAAATCTGTGACTTCCGAGTTTTGAAGACGGTCTTAGACCCTTACACCTGTGGTCTTTCTAGGTGTTTTGATTCGCAATTTTCTTAACCTGAACCCCAGATGGAAACAGTCTAGGAAGTGAACTGTGTCAACTCCTTGCCCCCTTTAGAATTATGTATGTTATAACCTCTCTCCTTTCTAGAAAATGGGGGAGGCACACTTGTAACTAAATAACTAAAAATACAGAGAAGGAAATGACATATCACCTAATTTTAAATCTAGATGAAGAAAAACGGTAAAAAAATGTGAAAATTTTCAACTTTAAGCAGTGACTTGGAAAATCACCTCTCCTTGCAATTCTAGTTGACTTTTTTTTTTTTTTTTTAAAGAGGAAGTTCTACCTATTTTGCTGGTAACTCCACGTAAAGGCAAACAGGCTTCTGAATAAAAGGCAAAAGTTTGCTTCAGTCACTGAAGTGTATCTGAAAACTAGAATTCCTTTTTATTTTTTTTTAAACGAAAGCATCATTTTAAAAAGAGCATAGAAAACTGGTTGTGGTTTTTAAACAGCCCCTTCACCATTGATTGTTGGTAGCAAAACAGGCATTTTTCAGGAGATGACTTGGAAATGCTAAAAAAAGAATTAAACTGAACATACATTTAAAAACATAGTAACAAAATCTACTTGTGATGAAGAGTGTCTCTGATCATCAAGTTATAGGCTTGAGTAAAATAGCTGTTTTTAAAAGGGAGGAATACGTACTACTTATTTGTCCCAATTAGCAGTGTGTGACTAATTTGGGGGAGCTCTTGACAAGCAAGCTGTGAAGTAATTCTCAGGTTTAAGTACAGGGGCGGTTACCAGAACACGGGGTGTGCTATGTACAGCAGTGGGCATCTCTAGCAGGAACTGGTAGAAAGAACCCAAACACAGGACAAAAGCTGAGCCTATGTACATTACAAAAGCCCATGCATTTATCCGACAGTGGTATTCCAAACATCTCCACGGAAGCACTGGGGAGCTCACATAAATATCTAAGCATAGTTTTCTTGAGAGAGAAAACATTAAGATAAAATGACAGCACTCAATCTTCAGCAGAAGCCAGATTTTTAGAAAAATCTAAATGATGAGGACCCCTCATCAGAAATGACAAAGACATACATACGGTTTAAAAATCAGTATCATAATGACAGAGTCACATAGCCACGTGTGCCTTCCAACGTGAACAAGTAAACAAGACAAACAACAAAGAAGCATTTGTAAGGCCAAAGGTGCAACACCACGGGTTTTAGTAGCAAATGCCTTGAAATACTCATTTTTGCAAATCACTCTTATATTTGAAAAGTCAAGCATGCAGATCTTACAGCAGAACTGGAGGTAAACTTTCTCTTAAATTTCTGGGCAAATGGCTACTGAATGAGAAATACACTTACTGAACGTCTTTGGCAAACATTTCTCGAGACAATTTTTGACACAAACACTTGTTAATGTCTTGTTTAGAAATTTTGCTCAGGAAGGTGAGTCAGTTCCTTAGAGAAGAGTGCTGGTTTTTTTTTTTTTTTTTTTTTTTTTTT